AAAAAAAAAAAAAAAAAAAAAAAAAAAAAAAAAAAAAAAAAAAAAAAAAAACTTACTTTAGATCCATAAGAATGAATGCAACCATTTGAATATCCTCAGTTTTTATTTGTTTCTCTAGATCCATAAGAATGAATGCAACCATTTGGAAATCGTCAGTTTTTATTTGTTTCTCTTGCACACTTTGAATGTCAACAACCAATCATATAACATCTACAATAAAAAAAAAAAAAAAAAAAAAAAAAAAAAAAACTAGTATGTTATAATTTAATTATTTTGAAATAAACAAATAAAATTAGAAACAAAATGATATAATCTTACCGAACAACATCGATTCATCGATTTTGTTAACATATTGTAGAGTTGCAAAGTCTTTGAATGAAATCGAAATACAGGAAATTCTTTCTTGCACTTTGTAAACATAGTGCTCCCGTGCAGCATGATCTTAAAATCACCGGATGTCAAATGATACTTCTCTATATTGCTGTCCACTTGATAATTTTTTATACAAAAGACCATGCCCTCCTTAAAATTTCTCTCTCTAAACGCAGCCAAGTTGATTGCTCGTAGTCATGCCGTAATGCGATTACCCTAAACATATACGAAAAGGCAATCAATGAAAAAATAATTTGTTTTAAAAACATAAAAAAAAATGTATATTATATATACACGAAAATATATGTTTGATATTTCGGAAAAAAAAAAGTAAAAATAATTTGGCTTACAGTTTTATCATGTAGAACTAACTCAATATAGGATTTGTATGTGCTGCCCAGTCTTGAAAAAACATTCTTACAATTCGAAATTTAAGCATAGGTCTATTAAACCTATTAACTTGTTTGATTAAGCTAAATTCTTGATTCATTGTTATGAATGACACACTAATTGGGGATTTTTTTTTTTCAATCGGTGGTTGAAAGTGAGGAACACGCTGATTCAATATTTGGAGATTTATAATTTATAATTGCATTATCGCATTATATGTAAAAATAATGTGAAGGAAATCATATCAGATCATTATATGTAGAAACAAATATGATCAGATTTATATCGCATTGTAATTATAATTGCATCAAAAAGGATTTTTCATACAACAAAGCACTTCAATTTAGGTGTGAAATCTGATTTGGAAGAAAAATTTTTTGTTGACCGGATCAATTTTTTTATTGGTTTAGTAATAAGTACTCCCTCCTATTTTTATTTCGTTTTGAGAAGCAACATGCTAATTAAGTATTTTTTTTTCTTTTGTCAATATTAACCCTATTTAATGGATGTTATGAGAAACTGTGAAATGGAATATGAAGAGACAATGTGCATTGATGGAGGGTTAAAAATGGAAAATATGAACAAAATAGCCAAAACGACATTTATTCAATCAATGATCCATTAAGCCAAAGTGACAAATAATAAAAATAGGAGGGAGTAGTAAGTAATAGAATGCATTAAATAAAATAAGTAATAAGTAATTAAATAAAACTATTGATGGAAATAGCATGCATTAATTATCCTTTGACTTTTCTACCTACTAATTTTGGTAAATGTGATGACTTATTATATAAGTATAGATTCCCGTCAAAATGTATTAATTGCATACTATAAATAGTACATGTCTATATCTATACTTATATTAAAAGCTATACTATTTACTAAATGTAGTATGTAGAATAGTCAACTCTAATTAATGATTTGCTATTTTTATCAAGCATTTAATTAATGCATCTAATATTTTTGGCATGTAGATCAAATTAGCATTTAATTACTTTCTAAAATATTGGGTATGCAGTATTAATTTAGGAATATCTATGTAGTTCCTAAAATGTTGGTATGCAATACGTCAAAGAAGATTTTTTAATTTTTTTTAAAATATAAAAGATTACAATACGTAAAACTATTCCAGTTATTTTTTATTTTATTTTATATAAAAAATCTAATCAATATTTAATGCATCTTACAAAATTGGATTTAGTTTAATTCTCCATACAATGGGTTGTAACTTTTTTAGTTGTACTTTATTTATTTATTTATTTTACACTTTTAAATTAATGAAGCTCTCCAAAAATACCAAATCAAATTATGAAAGTTTTTTTTTTTTTTTTTACAATTTTAAATCTATATACCCAGCTTAAAAAACTCATCGCGTAGATATGGACGAGTTTAAGAAAATTTTCATAACCCAACTTATAAAATTCCATCTCCATGAGTAAAAAAAATCACATCCCTCATCGTAACAACTTTAAAGGTAAATAAATAAATGTCTAATTACTACTATAAATCCATTATCTATATAGATTTTTTAAAAATATAAATTTCACCTATCTAATTACTAATATTTTACATACTTTTAAATATTATTTGTATAATATTTTTTACACATTTGCTCTCTCTCTATATATACATATATGGAGGTTAAATGAAGATTTTTTAGACATATTTTCCTTACGGGTAGTTTAGAAAAATTTAGGTAGCTTCAAACATTATTTGTGAATAATATAGAATATTTTAGATGCTTTTATAGATATTATAAAATATTTTAAGTATTCTTAATATTTATATATCACACTTAAAAAGAATATTTTGCCAAAAAAAAAAAAAAAAAAAAATACACATTGTAAATGTTAATAGAAACAATATTCAGTGTTCGTCTTTGATTTTGTCGAAACAAATCTCATAAAATCGGTGAAATCAAAATTTGTACGTAAAGTCTATCTATACTAAAAAAAAAGGTAGATTCAAAATTCTTTATCTAATTTCTTCTTTTCCTTATCTAATTCCTTCTTTTTATCTAATTGTATAGAAATCTGTTCTGATTTTGTTCAATGCTCTAATTGTATTTGTATTATATCCCATAAAATTGGTTTAATAAAAAAAATTCATACCATCCGATAAGTAAAAAAAAGTACGTAAAATCTTTACTAAAATAAAAAAAGGCTTTATTTATCATCTAATTTATTATCTAATTGTATGGAAATTTGTTCTAATTTTATAATACGTAATACAAATTGTGCACCCGTGTTCAGAATCTATTTAACGGGCAAGCTCTGTGGAAATAACTCATTTAGTTATTTTGTCCCGTGCATATGGTATGTATTTGTATTACACATACTAGGAAATTGCGCACCTCAATAAATGACCTTAATATTTTACACACCGTGCATCACTCGTGTTCACATTTTGGCCTATTACAGGTCACGTACTATATATATCATGTGCATTTTTCTTTATTCATTTATATAAGTATAAGACTTGATAAATGACCTTAATTTTGTGCACCCCGTGCATCGCACGGGATATGTACTAGTATATATTAAAAGCCAACCTATTTACCAAAAATAGTAGCAAGAAAAGTCAACACACATTTAATGCATACTTTATTTGGAAATTTTTTACTATATGCATTAAATGCTTGCATATTTACATTTATTATCCAGATATGCTCTTAAATATTTTTTCCTTAAATAATTTATGCAATGATTTTATTGATATCCATTATAATTAATATTTGTCGAGTAATTTTTTTTAACCTCTATTTAATTATATAAAACTAATATTTTTTTTTAAAAAAATAATATTATTTATCATTTAAAAGATAATGATCACCTATTAAATGATTTTATTGATGGTTATAATAAAATTATATTAGTTGTTCTTTAAAATTTTTACTAAAATAAAAACCGGCTTAAGAAAAAAAAATTCATAATATCCGATAAGTCAAAAAAAAGTATGTAAAATCTTTACTAAAATAAAAAAGACTTTATTTATTTGTCTTATTCTATAATTACATCGATTTAGTCAAAACAAATCTCATAATCGTTGAAGTCAAAAAATGTACGTAAAGCCTATTTATACTAAAAAAAAAAAGGCAGATTCAAAATTTCTTATCTAATTTCTGTTTAAAGCATTTTATTTAATATTTATTTATATGAAATATTGGATAGGATTGCTGGATCTGAGTCAATTTTGAAATCGCGTTGTTTGGTATGAGAGGATTATCTGCATCCTATACCTGTCTAAAGCATATTATTTTATATTACTTAATTAATTTATTTAATATTAAATTTTTTTATCCATGATATCAGTTTTGTCAAAAAAAATTGAACAAACAAACAAATAAAAAAGAAACGGGATTAATTACCTTCGACTTGTAAAAAATTTATGGGTGGACGTAAATATTTAACAATGCTGTTTCAAGTTCCTTAAATAATACTATAACTATGATGTTGAAATATAATATGTTTTATGAGTGACGTAAATATGATGTTTAAAGTTCCCTAAAATAATTTTTTTAAAAATTATGATGTTTAAAGTTCCTTAAATATTAATATATTTAAAGTATACACATGTTATAATATATTAAAGTCAAAACAATGTTGGAAGGCTTTTGAATTATCTAAGTTAATTAATTTAAATGTTTAATCCCATTAAATCTTCAATCCATGAAATATTTTTACTAATCCCGTGAACATGTTGTTTTGTTATTGTAATCAACTTATACACTATTTTACTAATAAATTATTTAATACCTATGTACAATGAGGTCTTTAATAATATATGATTTTTTTTTCGTCATATACTAATTTATTGTATAATTTTCCTGCGTACTATAAAACTTTTATTGAATATTGCATCTTATAATATAATATTCCCTAAAGAAATATATCCCGTGTCTCGCACCGGTCCCGTACTATATATATCCCGTACATTTTTTTTATTCATTTATATAATTATAAGGCTGGATAAATAACCTTCAAATTGTGCACCCCGTGCATCGCACGGGCTCTGTACTAGTTTTAATAAAAAAAAACAAATGTACTGCATTAATTGCGTTCCATATATCTTTTCCTTAAAAACCGAAATCTATTTTATTTAGCAGATTTTTTTTTTTTCGAACTAGAAATCATTTTGGAGAATTTTGATACAATATCTCATCTAAAAGTTATAGTTAATTTTTCGGTAAGATTTGACTTACACGGTTTGCAGGCCAATCTTAGTTTAATATTTATCGTATAAAAACATTATTAAAAATCTTAAATTAGTGTTTTTCATTTCAGCGATAAACATGATAACTCTTGAAAAGTGGATTTTGTTATGGTATTTAGTTGTTGTTATTTTTATCGAATCTTTAGCAGATTTTTTTCTTTGCATTTTGAAATAAAAATAAATTTATAAATCTTGATGGAATATCTTTCATTTTAACGGATGGACATAATAATTTAGCCTATCAATACATATTATCACAATAACTACAGGTCTATTTCTCTCTATACGTAATAAGAATTAAATTTTAGAATTATTTTAAATAATGAAAAAATAAGCATTAATTGCATTCATTATAATTTATATATACAATAAGAATAAGGTTAATTCATTATTAGAAAACATTATCAGCAAAAAAACATTAATTACATATTATAGATGGAACTAATATAATAAGTGTTTAAATAAAATTTAATAAATCATTAATGCATTGTTTCCAATAAAAATCAGTTTATGTTTGTTTTAGTCAATTCTCAGTTTCCTTTATTTACGTTGATAATTGTATGGTAGACAAATGTTATGTAAATAATTAGACAACCGATTTTAGAATTCTCATTTATGAGAATTTTTTTTTATTTTAGTTATAGGATTAGCTAAATTTTTTAATGAAAGAAAGATTTGAAATGAGATATATATACAAATCTTTTT